AGTGCAGAACATAATGAATCTGATATGGAACAAGATATATGGAAGCAAGAGATGAAAGCATTTTTACATAAAGTTAAAAAAATACCATTAAACAAGCGATATTATTATGATCAGTCAGTATTATACAGTGCACCACAATTAAAAAAACGTGTAAAAGTACAGAAAGGTGGACATCTTATTCGTTATGTAAAATCAAAAGAGACACGCTATATTCTGCACGCATGTATTGGTATTACTGGTCCAATTGCGTTTGAGGTTACAAAGAAAAATCTTAATGATCATGAAGTTAAACGGTTTATTGTACGAAAAATTGTACCAAAATTAAAATTAGATGATGCATTAGTCATGGATCGTCTGGGCTCAACTCGACGTGTAAAAAATCCTCGTAAACAACATTTTAATCCTCTAATGTTAGCGGCCGTAAAAGATGTTGGTGCAGATGTATTACATTTACCATTTAAAGGTTCATATCTAAATCCAATAGAACTGCTATTTAGTGATTTGAAAAATAATTTTCCTGTTAAGAAATATTCACATTATCCAAATAATGAAATGAATATTAGTAGTATAGCAAAACATGTACAACAATATATGAATTATGTGGCTCCACAACGTTGTCGAGGTTTTTATCGAAATCGTGCAAATGGTAAATCGATCATCAATTGTGGCTTGTTGGATTAGACAATATCATATTTTCCACAAATTATAATAATTCATGTACAAAATAACCGTTACATTACAACACGTATCTACAATCTATGTTACCCACTCTAGAATTGTACATAACTTTCACCATAAATACTTTGGATGTTAAAATTAAATTTTCGAATATATGATATAGAAATAGGTTCACATACGTGCAAAAATAACGATTATTGTTTGATTTAAATTTTATATTGCAAGATTATGTAAAGTTGGCTTTGTATATATTGTATATATATTGTATATTCACTATTGTCACTGTTGTTATATAATTTAGTTCTTTTGTAATTATAAATAAATATTTAATTACGTTTTAATTTCGAGGGGTCGGTTTTTTTATGCACTCCGTACTTCTGATTATTGGAGGAAATTCATCATACATGCGGTTAATAATACTGTATGAAAAATGTTGAGTAACAATGAGAAATATCTGCTCACGTACTTAACATGTTTTCACGCGTTTTTAATAAATTACTGTGTGAAAAGCAGTTAAAAAATTTCGCTTGTCACAATAAAAAACGCGTTTAAGCACATTCATTTTGTGGAAGTTTAACGTGTGTACAGGGTCAAATTTGTAGCACATTTAATTGTGAAATTTTTAACGAATTTTCACATCATACGACTTTATTTAATTGGGAAATCTTTTTACGTGAATCATGTCTGTTTTTTTTTCTTTTGCAGCTTCAGTTGCGGCATGATCTGGCAGTGTATGAACTAGATACCAGTGGCAGAAGATCATTGCTTCTTGAAGCGTATTTTAGAAGAACATCAATAGAAAAACTCCTTCTTAGGAGGTTGCACCATGTAAAGTAGACAGAAATATCACATAATTTTTTACGGTTAGACTTAGAATAAGTGATAACTTTTCTACTTTAGTAGATTCACCACATTCCTCCTTTTTTCAAATATTGAGTTCAAGAATGAATGAACGGTATCTGATATAGTCTATTTTTAAATATTCAAAGTATCTCAGACTTCTTTAATGGGACAAAATGCGACAATAGACATCTTCACGTTTATTGATTTATTAGATTTTTAAAACGAATTAAAAAGATTTGTTTTTGTAATTCTGATGGAGCATCAAATGTAGCATCTTTTGATAAAAACTCAGCCTTCTATTATGTTCTTAAACAAAAATACATGCAAAACATAAACTGTTGCAAAACTTTTGGCTCGCTCGGTATTACTTAAAGTGTTAAGAGAATGTTAGACCATTGTGCGAAGCTAAAATGAAGTCGTTTATTTTATATAAATTGATTTGATTTATATCTATCTAAGGGATGATTTGATTTGTAAAAAGAAAATGCGTTAATCTACACTACAAAGCTGAACAATTCATTACATGAAATCCCTAGTCTATTGATAAACTAAATGCCAATTTCAAGCAGTTGCACTTTGAATATGTTGCAGAACACTTTCGGAAAATTTTAATAGATTTTGTTTATTGAACATATGACCACAATGTTCCATGATCATTGTTTTTGCATTCAGTAACTCAGCTAATTCTTGCTGTTTTTTAGGTGGGAAAATTTTATCTTGCATTGCTATTTGTACTGTCACTGGCACCTGTGCATCTTTGATTTGTTGTGCATGTTCATCCGTTAGATAATGTGAGTTAAAAATAACATGCTGTTGTGAACACCCATCAATATCCTGAAATATGAACCATTTGCCACAGTCATTTAACCATTTTTTAATAAGTTCCTCCATTTCTTCTTCCTCTATTTCATTAAATACTAGTGGTATCATTGAACGT